GTTGATGATATTATATTTGGTGCAACTAATGAATCTTTGTGCAAGTACTTTGCTGACTTGATGTGCAGTGAGTTCCAAATGAGTATGATGGGGGAACTCAACTTCTTTTTAGGACTGCAGATCAAACAAATAGAATCTGGAATTTACATACATCAGCAAAAATATGTCAAGGAACTCCTGAAAAAGTATAACCTTGACAGTGCAAAGACTAACCACACACCTATGGGAACTAACTCTAGATTGGACGAAGATCCCTCAGGAACTTGTGTGGACCAGACAAAGTACAGAGGTATGATTGGTTCACTATTATACTTAACTGCTAGTAGGCCTGACATTTCTTTTAGTGTTGGTCTTTGTGCTAGGTTCCAATCTAATCCAAAAGAATCGCATCTCACGGCCGTTAAAAGAATTCTGAGATATCTTAAGGGAACGGACGATATGAGTTTATTCTACCTAAGAAGTGATACATATGACCTTTATGGTTTTGCTGATGCTGATTATGCTGGAGACTTAGTAAATCGTAAAAGCACCTCAGGTATGGTACAATTCTTAGGCTCTTGCCTAGTTTTTTGGACAAGAAACAAAACACTGTTGCTCTATCCACAGCCGAAGCTGAGTATGTAGCTGCTGCATCATGCTGCCCACAACTATTGTGGATAAAACAACAGTTGCGTGACTTTGGCATAATTTTAGAATGTGTTCCAATTTACTATGATAATACTAGTGCAATCTGCATATCAAAAGATCCAGTACATCATTCACGTGTTAAACACATTCATGTAAGGCATCACTTTCTAAAGGACAATGTAGAAAAGGGCTCTATAAGATTAGAATTTGTACAAACTGAATATCAAATTGCTGACATTCTTACTAAGCCCTTGAGTAGAGAAAAATTCGAGAAGATGCGATTGGAACTCGGAATGATAAGGCTTAACTGAATTGCACTCTATCCAACCCCAAGGTACGTCTTTTTAAAACGAAAGAGCATAGCTATATGTAACCTTGGTGTGAAAAACACAATCTTGAATCTTGCAATATGAGAGTGTGCAATTGTATTTTGTGTGTGATCATATGTGTATGCCATTTAGTGAGAAAAATTAAGCCATGTTGATTCCAAGTTCCTTTGCAAATGTTACAAACCTCTGTATAACCAGATAATTACCTCACGTAATCTTCTGGAAAATTAATCTTAAATTTTTATTTTTATCTTTTTAATTTTTATTTTTCAGTCATTATCTTTCCTATTATTCAAAAATAAAAAATATTTATCCTTATTTTTTTTATCTCCTTATTTTTTCTTTATTCTGTTTATCATTCATTTTTTTTCTTCTTATCTTTTACTCTGTTTATCTTAATACTTTTTTTTAAGTCCTATTTAAATTGTGTCATTGAATGATGTATTTGCAAAATAATTTTTTCACCCTCATAATAACCCAAACTGTCACTTCACTTACACCACTCCACTAACACGCTTTCCCACATTTACTCCCACATTTACCTCACCTCAATTACCACACCCCTTCAACCGTCACTTTTCACAAAACCCTTCATCTTCATCAATTCCCACCTACCTCATAAAAGCTCCCTTCAATTCCTCCTCCTCCATCAACCAAACTCCACCACGCCACCACCATGAAGACCAACTTGAACACCTCACCAAAAACCGCTTCAATGGAAACCACATATCCTCCCTCTCAATCATCAAACGCAAGGCTTACCGAAAGAAAAGGCCGGGAAAAAGAAGGTTCAACGCATCGCAACACCACCAATGAAGGTTCGACAAATTCGCCGTGACAAATACCTCCTTGGCTATGCAATTGATCTTGCTTGGTGCACGGCTAGTAAATATTCTGAAATTTTAGAACTATTGGAGTATCAAAATTAGACATTCTTGCCAGAATCTTGTGCGAAATTTCCGATTTACCCTACGTTGATGGATGAATTTTGCGCTTCTTTTTTAATTGCATTGATGGTGAATGTAGAGCTAAGGTTGGTGGTAAAGAGATTGTGTTTGATTCTGTGTATCTAGCCAACCTGTTTAAAACACCGAATGTAGGCTACCAAAACTATGTCAAAAACAAACCAAGAAACTCTGTTAATGGCCACTGTGAAAAAGAAATTATCACCTTCATAGGTGGTAACCCAAAAGTCACCACCACAAACCACAATGTAATCACATCTCTACACAAACTGTTGTTCAATAATGTCTGGAGAGGAATTCTTCCTCGTTCCCAGAAAAGAAGCACTGTCACCTTGTTGGATGCCTCCCTTATTTTCTGCCTTGCAAACAAAATCAGCATAAACTTTCCTGCTCTGATGATTGCTCACTTGGACCACTGTATTCCAAACCTTCACATCCCTTATGGTCTACTACTCTCTGTGATTTTTCAAAGCTTTGGGGTATCCTTGACCAATGCCGAATACTTTTCTTTGAAACCTGAAAACATACTCCATGAAAAATCTTTGTTTAAATTAAATTTGAAAGTAGTGGATGGGAAGACTTGTTTTGCTGTTGAATCAGAATCTGAGGAAGAAAATGAGGAAGAAGAAGAGGATACAGAGGAGCCAGAAGTAACCCCTGTATTGAGTGAGGGGGAAAAGGATGAGGAAATTAAAACAGAAAATGAGGATGAGGGAGATAAAGAAGATGTGCAAAGTGAGGGAGAAAAAGATGAGGGAGATAAGAGTGAAGAAGAGAAGGATGTGCAGAGTGAGGGAGAAAAAGATGAGGAAGAGGAAGAAGAGAATGAAGAAAAGGAGGACAGTGATGGAGAAAGGAGCAGTCCACCTCAAAGGACAGCACCTACTACTGGAGCAAGGAGAAAGAGTAGTAGAATTGCCAGTAAACAAATCCATAAGCCTTCACCAGCTATTCATATTGATCTGGATACTGAAATTCCTCAAGTTCGAGTTCCTACAGAAACTCTCTCCCCTGTTACCAAAGAAACTCCATCCCCTTCACACCCACAGCCTGCGTCCTCTCCCTCCACATTTGGTTTTGCAGCCTATGCTACACGCCCTATTCCCTGTGATTTCCAATCCTTCTATCAAGAATTCAAAGATACCACCTCTAGCTTGATGAGAGATTTGGAGCAACTCACAACCAAAGCTACATCTCTTCTGACTCAAGTTGCTGCCATAGAGAATCGGTTGACTAAGCACATGGACTCCACAGTTGAAGCCTTCAAGAAAGAAGTGCAGGACAGTCACCAAACCATCCTCAACACCATCAAGGAAGTGGCCTTTGAGGAGGTCACTGAGGAAGAAGCAGCTGCTGCCTCCACCACTCCCTCAACCCAAGCCTAAACCCCTCCAGTTTATTTTGCAATGTGTTAAACAATGATGCTACTTTTTATTATTTTTCTAATTTCTGTTTTGTGTTGAACAATTTTCTTTTGTCTCGGTTTGTAGTAAGGAAAAGGCTTTCTTTTGTCTAACTGCTTGGTATTACATATGCTTGCATGTTTAATATATGACCATGCTTAATTGTTCATGAATTCGGATTTACTACCCCCTCTGTAGCGTAGTACTATATATAGCATGTGTTCTTTTTATTATTTTGATAATGCCAAAAGGGGGAAGAGGAGGAAAAACTCAGGAAGGCCAAACTCAAACCGATTCCACTCAAGTCTTCTTCATTCAAGCAAAGGTATAACTAAATAAACTTAGTAAACTTACCTTTTCATTTTTATGAATGATGCAGACTTCTCTGTCTTAGTTACTTTTCTCTAATTATTTTTTTTAATCTGTTAAATTTAGTTTTGTTTTCTGTCTTAGTAAATTTGAAAGTTGTTTTTAGTTAATTTTAAAGTTTTTAAGATTACCTGGATGTTTTCTGTTTAAACGAGTTTGTCTTGTTTGTCATCATCAAAAAGGGGGAATATTGTTGAATTGACTACCCAATGTTTTGATGATTGACTTAAAAAAACAAACTTTGACTAATGAATGTTTAAGTCATGATTGAACAGAAGATTCAGGTGAACAAAACTAAATGTTCCGGAGTAGGAACAAAAGAGTTTGGAAGTCTTGATGGAATAAGCAAGCTTTCAAAATATCCTCACAAGCTTCAATACTTAGAATATTCATGTACGTACCTGAGAAGTAAAGTGTTGGAAGGAATATAAATAAGAAACTCAAAGTTCCTGAAGGAACCTGGAGTTCCTGAAGGAACTTGATGGCTGGCTCAAAAAAAGTTTTACGATTGTTTTAAAACAGTTTTTAAAACCCTTAAAATTAGGAAAAGATAAAATCAGTTTGAAAAGATGATTTTTGGAAATAAAATAATAGATAAATAATTCTTTAATTTAAATAGATAAGTTTGTTATTTTAAATTAAATAATTATTTAATTTTATCTTCTTTAAAAATATCTTTTTCTTTAAATAAATATTTATCTTTTAAATAAATATCTTTTTAATTGATTTTGACTAAGTAAATTCTGTTACCTTATTTTAAGGAATCAAGTTGAGAGAAGTAAGGGGAACCACAACCCACAACTCCCTCAACGTTACTCTGACTATTCCAGTCAAGGTAAACGTGAGATCATGGGAGGAGTGGGAACTTGGTTGAGACTTCTAAAGAGCTTTCTATAAATAGCTCTCGATGTTGATGTTTTAAAGTGTGGAAAACAATCTGAGTTTTTAGGCAAAGAGTTTCTAAGTGTTTTCAAAGTTGGTTTCCTTCCATCCTTGAGCTTCTTGAGTGCGTAAGGAGATTCTTGTAATTACTCTATAATTGGGGATTGGGGCTGTGAGAATTGTAAAGTGTGAGGCTTGAGAGAGTTCTTCATACTGTACAAGTGATTCGGAGTTGAATCACAAAGAGTGAGAAACTGTAATTGAGGGATCACAGTTGGGTAACTTGAGTTCCTCAACGGAACTTGAGTCTAGGCAGAATATTAGTGTGTGTAAATCATTTTACATAGTGAAAGTATTCATTGCCTATTTCGAAGTGTCTTCACTCTTAGTAGATAAATTAATTCCGCAAAATTTTCTATAGTCTACTATTCACCCCCCCTCTTGTAGTAGACATTGTTTTTAGCAACGACAATTAGTGTTAGTTGAAGTTGATGAGCAAAACAATGTATGTAGTAGGCACTTGGAGTATCATTCATAATCAAAGTCTTAAGACCATTTATTTCACCTTTCATGTTGCTAGCTCCATCGTACCCTTGCCCTCTTATCATAGATGGACTCAATGAATGTTCAACAAGTAAAGACATGATTGCATCTTTAAGAGTTAAAGCGGTAGTATTACCAACATGAACAATGCCTAAAAATCGCTCCATTACCTTTCCACTATCTCTATTAACAAAGCGCAAAACAAGAGCTAGTTGTTCTTTTTGGGACGCATCACTTGACTCATCGGCTAATATGGAAAAGTAATCATCACCAACTTTTTCTATTATGCACCTAGTTGTTTCTTTGGCACAACAATTAATAATGTCCTTTTGAATAGAAGAGGAAATCATTTGACAATTTTTAGATGCATTTTCAAGAGTATGTTGTCTTACTTCCTCAACCTTTTCTCCTAACCATTTCAAAAGCTCAAGGAAATTACCCTTATTATATGATTCCCCGCTTTCATCATGTCCACAAAATGCCAAACCTTGCCCCAAAAGAAATCTTAAACAAGTTAAAGATGCATTCAAGCGAATAAAATATTCATTTTTAATCACCTCACTTGCATTGTCAAACACATTCAAGATTGATTTTGTTTTTCCATCTCTTAAATTCACATATTTCTCATAAGCAAGATTATGAGCACTGTTAATTCCACCAACATGCTTCTCAAATCTTTCCGGTTTATTCCATGCCCTAAACCCTCCATCAAAAAATACATCACCCCCCGAATAACTATCAACTTTGTTCTTGAACAAGTAACATACAAAACAAAATGCGGCATCTTTTTCAATACTATACTCAAGCCAATCCCATTTCTTGAACCAATGAACACTAAAGCGACATAAACCAGACACTTGTCTTTGAGGAAAGTCATGAGTTTTTGGTTGGCAAGGTTTTTTAAGAATATAACCCCTCCTAACTGCATTTCGTTCATTTGCGGGGTAATCCATTATATTTATTCTTTTTCCCGGATCATGAGGAAGAAGTTCAACATCGTATACCAAATCTTCCTCCAATGGTACATTACTAGTACTTGAACCACCCATTTCCATAACATTTTCTTGACTTTGAGGGGAGCTTAATGAAGGGGAGTTATTGGACTCATTTTCATGGAGTTTCTTTCTTTTAAACATGAATTTTCGAAGATCGGGTTGTTTTCTAGTAGCCTTGGATTTGTTTGAATTAGGTGAATCATTTGACATTTCCTAATTAAGTTGAAAAATATATATCAATTTCCACAATCCACATCATTGCATAATAATAAAACCTAAGATTAAAATTGCAATTAAAATTAAAATTCAACAAAGATTGCAATTAAAATTAACAATAATTCAACAAAAATCTGGAAATTAGGGGTAACAATTGGGGATTTCAAATTGGGGATTTCGAATTAGGGTTAACAAGACATACCATTGATGGATTTGATGCAGCGAAGACGGCCGAGGCTCGACGGTCGGACGATGAGGGCGTGAGGTAGCGCGCAGGCGGCGCATCTAGTGAAATGGTGACTGGTGAGGATAGAGGACCAGCCACGACCGAGGACGGTCAATCACTCAATTACAGCAGTACTGGAGGGCGGTGGAGGCTGGACTGGCGAGGCAGCGTCGTAGTGCGGCAGCGAAGAACGGAGGTCATCGATCTACTGGAGGAGAAGAGGAGTGGAGGCAGTGGCGAATTGGAGGAGTGAAGATGGAGCAGCGCTGCTTCAATTCTTCGTTTCATCCGTTCATATCCAGCGTTTTTTTTTTTTTTTTTTACTTTTTTTTTTAATTTTTTATTAAAAAAATTGGGGGGACAACTGTCCCCCTATGTCACTTAACTGGGTCCGCCCCTAACCCCAACTAACTCGATAAACCACCCACCCAACCACCCCGACCACACCAGCAACTCTGAATTCGCCACCCAGACACCCCAATTTCCCTACCTAGCCACCAAAAAACCTCCCAGCCACCCCGATTTCCCCACCTAGCCACCCCGAAAATCCAACCTGAATTCCCCACTCAACCACCTAGAATTGTGCCTTGCAAAAAACGACGGTTTCGTTTTTGGGTGGTAAGGTGGGGAGGGGGGCGGCAGCCAGCAAGGGTTAAAGGGGTGGGTTGGGGGAAGGGGAAACGACTGGGCTTGGTGGCAGCCGACAGTAAGGCTGGGGAGGGGTTGGTTTAAATTTTACTTTTTTTTTTTAAAAAAAATATTCTTTCTTTTATATTTGAATTTTTTTTAAATTTTTTTTGGACCAATCACACGTTGACACATATGCAGGTAACCTGGTATAACAGGTCATTGACTTTTGTTGACTGGTTTGAGCATGATAAAAGAAAATACCCCCCAAAGTTGAGATTATTTCAGAATGATCGATAGTTGAAATTATTTAAAGTAAATGGCCCAAAATTGGGATTAATAATACCAATTTTTCCTTTTTATTATGTTAATAAAAAATTATTGTCAAAACTAATATATGAATAGTGAAAAAAGTTCAATGTCATCCCAGATATAATGGGACGGAGGAAGTATTATTTTAACAAAAAAAACTATGCATTACATATTTACATGTACTGAAAAGGTGATAATGATAAGTGATAACGGTTACATAGTTAGAATTCCATGTAAATTATAATAATAACATGTTTATTGTTGTAATACCATACACAAACGGACGATAAGATACATCACACTATATATACAAGTAGAACTTTAGAGTGAAGGCACCACAGTACAATACAAACAATTGTTATCAAGTAGACATTTACACAAATTAATAAGGAGAAAATTTAGTGTTTGTGTAAATTATGTCTACTTCCATTCTTATAAAAACTGTTATATATAAGACCCCAGTGTTGTAGTGGTATATATATTATATACAATCAGCTTTAATGCTGAATTTTCTCCTTATACTCCAGCTCTAATGGGTGACAAAGAAGTTGAACTTTGATGAATAAACCTTCATCAAAGGCACCATCCGACGACTTCCAGTTGATATTGCAGGGAAAGTACAATGAAATCGATGATTTGGTTTCCACGGGCCATGGTACTTCATCGAGACTTTGTTATACGAATTGATCACTAATCGCGGCTTCTTTGGAGGGGGAAGTAGAGGTTGAGGCTCTGAATGATGAAGAGAAGTGTGAGGTTCCAATGGAATAAAGATTGCCTTGTTGATATCATTTAACAAGGAATCCTTAGAGTCGAAATGGTTGGCCGAGTTGAAGAACATTTGAAAGACTTTAAGGGCTGTTAAGTGTAGCCTCTTGCAAGGCTTTGGCAAATCTTCAACATCATTTCCATCCATCAATGCTAGTTCTAGCAACTTCATTTTGGTTTCTTCAAGTAGGTTTTCGACGTAATGAATTGCATCTTCGATATTGGCTTCTGGATTTTCTTTCATGTATATATGTACGGAGTTGATCTTGCCATCCTTAACCTCTTTCTGTAAAAATACATATGGATTTGATTAGTAAGTACTATTATCATGACATCCTATCGAAATTGTCGTGTTTGAATATGATCAAATTCTAGCTATTAGGCCTCGTATTAACCATTTCAATTCTTCTTAGAATGAAATAGGTCACAATTTTATTCACCTCTTCGGTCAAGAATGGTGAATTTTTACTATTCTAAATTGATCATATGAACTATAATTTGGTATTTTGTAACACTTTTAACTTTATATTTTTTCAAAGTATTTGTAAAAAAGTATACTTAACTAATTAGCTTCATATTATATCTCAGTATTATCTTCCCTAGTCTTAAAATTTTGGTGGTAAAAAAAGCTTGAGTCCAATACAACGTATTAAATAGTCACACGCTAGTAATATTACTTTGTTGGACTTGGATGGAGTAAAGTGTTACCTCGTAGCTTTGCAAGTCATTCAATAAACGACATGATATCATAAGGAGTTTAGTAATGTATTCATGTTCAAAAGGATTAAGTTTGTGAGGGGATAAGCTCGGTGTAAGAAAGCATGAAGCTTGAAGCACTAATATGTGCGCAGCTATTGATATCATGCCGGTTTCCAAATAGGAAGCCATCGGCGGAATGTGCCCTGTTTTGCTCCATGTTGCTTCTGTTAGCCATGAATCAACCACCTCATACCACTTCATATAGAACAAGCAAAATATTTAGTGCGTCGTCAACATATATATTTTGCATTATAGTGTATATATAAGGTAAATACAAATTGAAATAATTAATGTCCTACTCGTGTAGTATATGTGCACCACTTATGATTTTTGAGTAGTTGTCTTTAAAACGCACTTAAATTTTGAACAATTATATGGTACTTCCTCTGTTCCTTTTTGTTTGTTATGCTTTGACCATGGTTCTCTCACAAGCAAAAAGATTTCAAACTTAACAAAAAATAAAGAATAGAGGAAGTAGATTACATTATTACATATATATATAGTATTTATGTATTATAAAATGCATGTCACACATCATGTGCTATACAAGTAATAGAACAGAGGGATTCAAAAGAACTTACAATTTTTTGAAGATTATCTACTATGTCGATTCCATATTGATCAAAGTACTTGTTTGCTACCTCAGTCACAAAACTATCGAGTGCATCAAAAAGGATCTTGCCATGACTTTTTAAGCCTTTGATATTCCATCTACATAACAAAATAAAATCCATTTAATTAGTTATATGCAATTCCTTTTATATTAAAACATGTGTCAAGCTTCTTTTACATGTGTGCCTATATACATGTATGGCAATACCTTTTCACTGCGTTTGCAAGGATTTGCAGTTCATCAAGTGATCCTACCATGTCGAAATAGTCGTCGAAAATGGTTACAAGCACGGCACTCTTTGCCACAATAAGTCGAACATAAGAATCATAGGGAAGGGAAGTAGCCGAAGCAACTGCAAAATAGCAATAAGTAGTTTTCTCTCGAGCAAAGCCCATATCCATAAGACCGCAAATCTTGGACCACCTGAGTGTTAATCCAAAATTATATTGCTTTTGAATTACTTATATCAAATGCTATATTTTCATAACAGCTTTTTTTCGAGTTTAATAATATATTTATGATCAAACAGGTGCGGTGACAAGAGCGCTAGTAAAAGTGTATGTTGCAATTTAAAGATTTTATGGGCCTATGAGAGGTTAACGTTGTCTGATGCTGCTACTACAAGAGAAAACATTTAATTTACAAATCTTGAGCTTAGTTAAATCCATTACCTTATGAGCTCTCCTAATTCTTTCTGATAAACCTTTTGTCGAAGCTCATAGTTCTCTTTTGCAAGCTGAATCAATTCCCCATCATCTAGACATGGTATTCTGTTCGAACAAAAGAAACCCATATACACGTTAAGGTCAAGAACTTAAGATCGTATTCTTATAATTTAACTAGAAGAAATTAGTGTTGACTTATAACTTATAAGTATACCTAAAATATGAGGATTTTCCTAACCAAAGTGGATTGCCTTTGTTTGCTGATTCAATCCACTCTCTATGCTCCAAATGATCCATTCTAGCCAGCCAAGGAGTAGCAAGTTCGCACTTAATCTACACCACAAAGGAGAACATATATAAAAGAATACATAAATTTATAAAAAGTGGAAACATACCGCCTTTGGCTTAAATAATTTGTACCGATATAATTTTCATGTTGCTAGTTCAGATTACATTAACAGGCTATCAGCATGACTATTAATTAGGTAGGGGTTGGGCCGGGTATTCAAAAACAATGTCAAATATACTACCTTTTCATGAAGAGACGGCCACAACATAATATTATCATCTACATTTTGACTGATCAAGCTAGATTTTGCTAGCAACTTTCTTGAAAATGATCTCAATTTTTGCAGCTCATCCTCCGATTCAAACATAAGATATGTTGCTCTATAAAGATTGTAAAGGATGCTCGTAAACTTTTCATGATTCTCTTCAATATATTTCAGAGCATATTCATCATTAAGGAACCAACAAAACTTCCCTGCAATCAAATTCCTCAAACTGTTAGCATGTCCGCAATATACATCCAAATCGACCAAAAATAAGAGGCCTTGCTTACTTGCAGAAACTTTATATCCATGAAACCGAAGAAGTTGAAAAGCCAAGGAGCTCTTGTAAATATTTTCTGGTATTAAACCACATAATTCTGATGGTTTATGTGCATTATATTCCCTGATGAATATTTTCTCATCATTGTGACGACCAAAGTAAGAAAAAGAAATTAAATTGGACGATTTAAAGGTGGTTAGAACTGTGAATTACCTATGGATGTGTTCTAACATGTCATTGATAATATTAGGGAAACGCGTTGAGAGTCCTAGTCTTTGCAATTGATTGACCATGTAGATCGGTATGTAGTCCTCGTCGATAGGATATAATGAAGGAACTGCATAACAAAAACAAAAACGATGGTACTAATATGGAGTATTTATCAAATTAAACTTCAAAGTTTTCCGTATTAATTACTCTATATCTTTGAGAAACACCTTAAAACTTTCGCTATAGTAAAAGCATTCTACGAGGTGACAGAGGTAGGACAACATTTAATTCGTACGTAGTATAGTAAAAATGTAGTAACTTACCTCCACCATTACAATTATTATCTACGAGGTGACAGAGGTAGGACAACATTTGCGTGTTTCGGGTGGCCATATATGCAGCAGCAGTGGCTGAGGGCGACCGGAACAAGGAACCTTCACCATTCATATTACTGAGTAGGGTAGCAACATTGACCGGAAAATTCGGCGGCAACACTTCTAAGTATGATAGCAAAGGAGGATAATGATACTTGTCCACCAGAACTTCCCTGTTCAAAATAATACAAAAAGTGTAAAGAACTAACTTGTAGTCTTGTACTATGCATGAAAACAACTAAAATAACGTCAAAATGGCTTGTCCAATTTCAAAGGGTAAAGGCCACATATATTGGTGATTATATGCAGATTTTTTCAATAGACAAGACATTATATAGTACAAACTCATTTTCCCTCAAAAAAAAAAAAAAAAAAAAAAAAGTACAAACTCATTACACTTTGAGATGACTCATAAAACTACCTTGCCTACAAAATTTATTTGTCTTTTTGAAATAAATGACTAATTCATACAGTAATCCATATGACAACCCTACACCATGTGTCCGTATTTATGTAGCTGACATGCCACACTCTGCTCTATAACTATCACTTAAATTATTTGCTCCATTTACAAATAATTAATTAAGGGTATGTTCTATTCACCTCATTTTCATTTATCTGAACTTATATGAATTTAACTGAATTTATTTGAATTTATCTAAACTTAACTGAACTTATTAGACCTTATTAAAGCTTATTTTGGTTGTTATTTGTAATTGGATTACCCTTATCAAAACTTATTTTTTCTAAACTTATCTTATCTAAATTTAACTGAACTTATCTAAACTTAAATAAAGAAAATAAGGTGCATGAACAGAACAAGCCCTAAATAGGCAATAGGATGAAAGGGTAAAGAATTCATGATATATAAATGTGGTAATAAAAAAACCAAAAAAATAGTTTTTTAATCGGATTATTGACTCATTCCGATGCATTTCTTAACCTTAAATATCTTTGATTGTGTAAGGGTAAAAATGTATTTTCTTAGACAAATCTAATAAAACCTCGTAAAGTTGTATTTTCTTACATATGAATCATAATACATGGTTGCAGAGGAGTGTCCTAAATGGTGGCATAATATAATTTAATTTTCGTGTTTGACAATTATTGAACCACAATAAAAAAAAATCAAAAAAAACAAAAAAAAAAAAAAAACAACTTTGATGTATTATTCTAGGGTAAAGTAGTGATGTCACAGAGAATACTTGATTATATATATGTATGTGGGGTTGGGACATAAAAACACAAACCTGATTCATATATACTCTATATAATTTGGTCAAGTCAAACAATCAAATATAAGACATGGAGCATAATCTATCATGCGCAATATATATCTACTGAGAAATAAGATCATTACGATGTAAGTATTTCATGCTGTTGTTGAAAAACACGGGCAACTGTTTCTTTCACCTCCTCATCAAACAAGACTTGGAGGCCAGTACATCGTGCAAGTTCAACCATGCCCGGGAAAACTATAGCAAACCATCGAGGGAAATCTTCTTTGTTGTTGTGGAGTTGAAGTAATAATTTCGTTGAATTAGCGTTTATGAAGGCCATTCCTGAAATTTCACAAACCGGTGGAGCTTAATAAATTACCATAAGTTTAATCAAGCAGCTAGCTTAGGTACCTAGCTAGCTAATAAACAACAATAAAACTTAAGTATTAATTATATGATAATGCGCAACCAAGAAGGCTAGAAAATTTAATTAGGGCATCTTCGAGAGTGCAACCGAAAAATATTTTCTTAGATATATATTTAGCTTATTTAAGCTACAAACAATTACAAGTATATATATACATGATAACAACATACATGACCTTGCTTGATGATTTGCTTATATGATGGCTTTATCAATTTAAATGTATTCTTACTCGATATATGATTTTAGATCCTATGCAAGTTATATCGATGATCCAAACTATTATGCAACAACACCTTATCATTTTTAATACATACTCTGTATATCTTACATACATACATAAAATTTTAGAATTAATGAATTCCGATGTAAAAAAAAGAGATATTCCAACCTAATTTCTCATTTTTCTAAAAAGCTAGATGTAGTAAACTAGTAATCAAATTGGTGGTAGATCGTAGTTACTTAAAAAAGGGCTAAGTTGTTTATGGTTAAACAAGAATTTGTGTGAAATTTATTATTTTATTTATTGATATCATTAGTAGAAAGATATACGACATCAATCTACAATAAAACAGATTTGTAAGATATACATGTACATATGAAATTAGAATAATTAACTGATTAAAATCAGATTTAGCACAATCACAAATCCAAATTTTTATAGTTGTATGTATTTTTCCATACAACCAAATCAAAATATCTCACATATTGTTTAAAAAAAATGTTAGATTTAGTTGCAAAATGTTTAATATGTATACAACTATTAATAAAATATCTACCAAAAAACTCTTTATCCTTCTATAAAACCCCATACCATTTTTCCTCTGGAACACCAATATATAAATGTTGTTATTATAGTAATTATATTGTTAAATACGATGTAACACGTTTAATTTAATAAGATTGATTAATTAAACAAGTCAAATTAACTAAGTTCGACTAATTAATCAAGTTGGTAAAAAATTAACCTCTTGCAATATGCTCATGGCCCAACTTCCAAGTCTTTAATGCAACCATGCAAGCCAAGGTTGCAATAAGAGAATAAATAGTTGGATTGCCATGATAATCTTGCTCTCTCCAAAACCCTTCGGACTTTTGGTTGTTAAGAATCCATTCCAAACAACTACCAAACATGGGTTTCTCATAATTTTCTTTAGGATCACCTATCATGGCTACCCATGCGGTATCATAAGCCGAAGGAGAGATGGTGAAGCAAGGATTATCGATGGCTCGAAGGAGCACCTTTTCGGTTATCTTATGAACCTGAGCTTGAATAATAGCATCATGATAGGAATTTGCCATTTTTGCGAAAATAAAAAATGGAATAACACAAGAACAAGTTGATCGGAGTATGTATATTTGCTTGAGGGTGAGTGGTTTAGTGTAAAAGAATAACGACCAACATATATATAGGCGTTACTTCAACAAGTTAAACGTACATTCACTACGATAAATTCTACAGTTGTCCGTATTGTATTGAAAAATTAAAATAAAAGTTGTTTGCTACTTGTATGTTCACATTACATTACTTTTGCAAGCAAGATTATTGTAGAAGAATGATAGTGCAATTATTCTTTGCAATCGTGCATAAATTACCAGGAAATTTCTGCAGCCTTTTTTTTTTTATTAAATTTTCTTTAATTAGTATTAAATCCATGGGAATTCCCTGTTCCCATTGTGAGGAACATGTTTTGTTCATCATGGGGTATGTGTGTCAAGATCTGAGAGTTTCACTCAGTACACTGTCAAGATCTGAGAGTTTCACTCAGTACACTGTCAAGATCTGAGAGTTTCACTCAGTACAATAGGCGGTCCCCACAAGTGAAAAACATCACATTATTTTCCAAAATGTCATTATGAGAAACAAAAGTGTTCCTCATAACGAGGAAATGGGGCTCCCTCTAAATCCATTCCTCACTTCTCTAGTCTAGCCGTTTTGTGAATGACGTAGAAAAGGGTCCGGAGCCATTTCCATCACTATTTGGATGACAGAATTATAAGGGTATACTAAGTAAATTTCTAAGTTGTGCAAAAATATCCAATCCATTTCATCCAAAACTACACCCGAGTATTAGTAATCTGAAGTTCTGAACCCATATTAAGAAAATTTAAGTTGCCATGAAAAATTAGATTAAGTCTCAGTTAACATTCTAAATTAGATATGTCAATTCAAGTCACTACGTCGGATTTTGTTGAGTCTAGTCAGGTCAAATTTAGTTTGGGTTTGAGGCACATAAAATTATTGTGCTCATATAAGTCTAAATTTAGATCAGGTTACTTTCAAGTTGGGATGGAACATGTTAATTTTTAACTTCTCTGATTCCAATAGGAGGGCCGGGTAACGCCTTGTAGGGGTAGACCGAGTATGTATTAGTGTAGTACAGTAAATCTTACATCAAAACCAGTAATTGGGGCCTATTATAACCTAATTTGTGTTCTATTAATATTAATATTTATAATTATGTATTATTAAAAAAATATTAAAAAATTGATATACTTAAATCATACGCAGAGATGAATTAACAAGACATAACCCTACATGACAATATATGACCTTGTTTTTTTAGATTTGTTTTCAGGATTTTAGTTTACTTTAGTTCAACTCCGTTCATTTCATTCTATTATGATAAGACCTATTCAGTTCAAATCAATGTGTTCAATTTAGTTTAGCTCAAGTCCATTCATAAAATAAAGATGTTATATATTTTTCACAAATTTTAATAAGCTTCATGATTCCTATAAAGAATATAAAAACGAACTTAAGGAATTGTGTACAATATAATCCGTAAAATGGAGCAGCATACTGGTTTATCTAATGGTTTATATACCATTTGTTTTGGGCTACAGCTGAAACAAATTTGCCATTCTAGCTTGGACTTTGTTTCATCTGATTTTGGGCAAGAATTGTTTTATTTTAACCTATTTATATTTTATCTGAATGAACTACATTTATTTTGTTTAAACTTATCTGAATTTATTTACATTTGAATTGGTTTTTTTTGTTTTTTGTTTTTTTTTAACTAGTTATTTCTAAAATATGATAAGTAATTATTTTGAACGAACTTATTATATATATCTGAAATATGATAAATATGATAAGTTATTGTCGTAAGATGAAATAAATAAAGCCTTGGGCCTTGTTTAGTTCAACTGATTTTTACTTATTTCAGAAAGATTTTATCTCTTGAGAAAGTTCTACAAATATTATTACATCATTTTTACCCATTTCATATAAACACATATCTACTATAATTTCACACTACAAATACCTAATATCCTTATTTTGGATTAATATAGGTACTTAATGTAGCTTTAGTTAGTTGACACTCGATATCTCATGGACAAATTTCTAATTTTATCGAACAATGATGCTTATAACACAGATTGTTTTGGAGGCCTTATAAATTACATGAATTGTTGTAATATCCAATCATCCTTTGTTGTGGAGGCTATCATAATGATGTTAGTATAAAAAATACACGTTTGAAACGTACTTTGTAGAAATTAACCAAAGCCAATATAAGAGTAGTAGTCTATTTGTTAAGGAGCTAGGCTTATCAATAATACAAAATAATTAATACAAAGTACTATAAATGGGCCAATGTACCTTAAATTTCAAACAAATGCCGTGGATGATAAGTTAGTCTATCCGTCAAATATCCTACAATAAGAATAACGGAACATTTGTGTAGAGGATCAACCATTAATTAAGGGTTGTTTTTCCTTGAAAAGAATAGGAAAACATTTTCCTCAATTCAATTCAACCCCAGTGGAATAAGGAAAATTTGGAGTGAAATCACATTTTTGGTGGAAAATTCTTTCCTTTTCAACATCTTACCCAAAAGCGATTGATAACTATAACCAGCTACACGATTGACATCTCCATACACACGACGAGATGCAACATCCTTGAAATCGAGCCACCAGTAGTTTTTAAGTTTGACATGTATCTCA